CCTTCGCTTCTAATCAAACATCGACCGTTCGGATCTTACCTCTTTTTCTTTTTACGTTACTGTCGAGAGCCACACCTAACTCTTTCTGCACCACGAACAATCAGCACATTTTTAAAAGTGTAAATAAAGATCCTGATGTATTGGTGGATGGAACAGAAAGAGTGAATCAACGGCATTTATATGACCTAATTGTGTTGCAAGTGCCGTAAAACTCTTGCTAAAACTGAACTACAGGATAGTTTGCTCTCTAAAAATGAAGTAGAGAGGTTGCCATCGGCGTTGCTGTAAATGTTTTGCAACACTCTCTTCCCATAATCTCTGTGTGCAAGTAATCGGTCGCTATTAAGGACAAGCGGACTAACCCAGGTTTCGGGGGTTTCCAGAAATCTTGACCTACACCAAAAGTGGGCACTGCCCTACCTGTAGGATAAGTTTGGTTTCATTTGTGTGAATATTTGTTTGGGTATCGAGAAAACACTCCTTGTCTTTTAAAGAAACTGAACAAGAGACAAAAACTTTTCCTTCAATTTTCTCCAAACATCATTTTTCGGGATAGCCCCCTTGGGCTTAAACGCGACCATCTCACCAGCGTCTGTGGTGTAGCACTTAGGCGTTTCAACGTCGCATGCAGATGACGTGAGTTCGATTCTCATGCGGAGAGAAGCTTAACTCCTTGATGACCCGCATTCCGGTCATTCGACAACGCATGAATGCGTGCTGTTTGAGGGCACAACTTCGTCATTCAAACGGGTTTTTTAAAAGTTTGTTCTCTTTACCCGGAACTTCAAAAGGCATACAATAATAGCATCGTCATCATCAATTCCTTTCATCTCTGGCAGGGTATAGGCCACATACAAGCTCTTTCCATTTATCTCTGTCCTGGGCCATCCTTCCAAGCTCGTTCTAAGTGAGCTTTATTTCTCTCAAGTCCCTTCCCACGCATCTCCTCCTTGTTTTGGACTCGGACGATGGTGGAGGTTTCTGTCCAGCAGCTTCCTTTCAGCTGTCACGGCCTAGCATGCATCATTAACTCTCCATTCGGAGAAGATCAACGACCAGCCAAGTAGATATAACGGTTTTTGCTTGTATGCGAACTATAAAATAAGCAAACTCATGTTTCTGATTTGTGTATGATGGTTGGAAATGACCCCAAACCTTGCTGTTGATCTGCTACTGATCGGACATATGTGTCCGCTTAGTTCTCAAAGAGTTAATCAAGTATCTCTGTTTGCAATGGCACTGTATTCCTCTCTGCCCGAGTTGACCCTGACAGGCAGGGTCGAATCAGTCTGCTTCTCAAACAACCGGAATAATGTCGATAGGAGCGTAAAACGTCTACATTTAAAAAGGCAATTCTGAAAAAAGATTACATACAAGTAGCAATATTGTTATCGTCATCGGCACCATTGATTACTTCTTCTTTTCTAAATTATTTCTAAAAACGTGTCGATGGGAGTGTTTTTTTTAATGACAGCGCCCTACTACTACTACTACTACTACTACTACTACTACTACTACTACTACTACTACTACACACACACACACACAAACACAAACACACACACACACACATACACACACACACACACGCACACATACACACAAACACACACTATGAAGTGGTGTAAACGCTAGGCACCAGTATGTAGAGCACAAATATCCTATAGGATAGAAGTATAGAGCAGACAACCTAAGAAGGACACCCCCCACAACTAAAGACACAAAAACACAAGTCCAAATGGGAGAAGTGGACTCAAATCTAATACCGGGTGCCCATTAGCACGATCAGGTCGGGTCGGGTCGGGTCGGTTTGCTAGCCAAATTGAGGTCATAAAGCGGCTATCGTGGCACAAACTGATCGCCCGACTAGTTGTCTCAAAAGCAAACTCGTCTGTTTTTAAGGCGACGAGTCGGGCGATCGACCCGACCCGACCCGACCCGACCCGATCTCATCCGCTCTGGGCACCTATATAAAGCCCGGCAGCCCACTACACCATAACCTTTGGCGAATGGTTTTTCGGTGGGTGTGAACGATAAAAACAAGAAAAGCACGACTGAATAATTGCGTCGAGTTGGTGCCGAAGCGTTCTCTTAGTTTTATTGTCCACATCTTCCCGACAAAGCCGTTGTTCAACTGTTTTGTCGTTGTGGGGATACTAAGCTTACACTTTCTCTTTTTGAAACACTCGTCTCATTCTTTCGTCTTAGATACCCCTCCCCTCCCCCACTCCCCTTTTCCCTCACTACAAGAGGGGTCGAGGAAACGCATGCCAGGAATCTTTTACACTACGCTTGCGTATGGCCTCCCGCTAACGCCATAAAGCAATGGCCACATTACGTTTACGACTGCTAGCGGCTGCTTCTGGGGACTTTCTTCAAAACCACGTAAACATAAAGGTGTGAGTGTAAACTGCGGAACAAAGATTGTCGAGTGGACGGGAAGAGAAAGGGTGGGCGGGTGGGTGGCAGTGTTTTGTTGTTGTTTTAACTACCAACTTGACCTCTGTATATCTAGCAAAGGGTCTTTTTTGTCTTTTGGAAGAGGGCGGGGGTGGGTTTGTAATAATAGGTTACTTTTGGGAAAAAATCGTTCAATGTCTTTGTCACAAAGATAACACGTAGTAGATCTTCCTTTGTAGTTGTGACTCATTGTCCGTCTTCTAGCATAAAGTAGAAGCAGAACAACACTGGAACAAACGCATTGTTGGTGGGTCTGGATCTGGGTCTGGATCTGAGTCTGGATCTATCGGTCATCAAAACTCTCATAATGAACGACGTAGATTGCGTGTGGGAGCGGCTCTTTTGCTGGACCCATTTCAGAATTCCCGTTCCATCCTTTATTCATTCATTCCTTTATTCCTTTATTCTTTTATTGAATCGTACATACTGCAAAAAGCAAGGGTTCCTAGTACAACTTGTTTGGAGTGTCGGTTAAGCCAGCTATTGCTGCTTTATATGCTGGGGTTTCAAAATACATGTACATTGTAACTAGCCTAATAATGGAAGGAAGTATTTCAAGTTAGTATTTTCTATTATATTAGGTGCATTTTTTTCTTCCAACGAAAGATAATTACCAAACACTGGAGGGGTGTAGGTAATCATATTGAAGCTGGAAGTGTGGAAGTTACTTGCCCTGAGGTGGCACTGATAACGATAGCACTGGCATTGATATTGATGTTGATACTGGTTATGGTAATAATATAAAAATAGTATTGATATTATTCTTATCATGAATGTTATTATTATTATTATTATTATTATTATTATTATTATTATTATTATTATTATTATTATTATTATTTTTATTATTATTATTATCATTACTACTACTACTACTACTACTACTACTACTACTACTACTACTACTACTACTACTACTACTACTACTACTACCACTACTACTACTACTGCTGCTGCTACTACTACTACTACTACTACTACTACTACTACTACTACTACTACTACTACTACTACTACTACTACTACTACTACTACTACTACTACTACTACTACTACTACTACTACTACTACTACTAATTACAATCATCATCATCATCATCATCATCATCATCATCATCATCATCATCATCATCATCATCATCATCATCATCATCATCAAATAAAGTGCTAGATCTGATACAGATATCGGCGAAGATAGTTTGCCTCTCATTTCTCTTCTCGATTCTCTAAAAACAAAAATGGTCCTGGTCTTTCCATGTCACCCATCTAGTCCTCCATGTAATTTATTCTCTGTCCACCAGTGCCTCTTTTGTCTTTGATTTTTCCCGTGAAAGCGAACTATTTAACCCTATCCGTACGTTGTGTTTTACTGTCGTATCCATACGACGTGGGGAACTCTGTGCCACCACTTTCCAAAGTGGAAATCTACTCGTTAATCCGATCTGTACGCTTTGCATAGCAGCCTGTCAAAATGATTTTTTGGAGAAATACTGAAAGCTTCAAAGAGATCTTCATACTAGAATCTAGAAGTATTCTAAAATGTGAAGAATACAACTCCGGGGGTACAAATTGACCCCGGGGCGTACGGATTGGGTTAAGCCTTTCAGGTATCCCAGAAACTAGGTTTGTCTCTTCCCAATTGTCTGGTTCAGTGTTCTTTCAGCACTTCCTCGTTTGATGTTTTTTCTGCCTTGACAATCACCTGTCCAAATAGCCATTTCCTACTTCACTTCCCCTTTGATTTTTTTTATTAGCATACAGGAACAATTTAACCCTATCCGTACCCCAGGGGTTGTTTTCTTCACATTTTAGAATACTTCTAGTGCGAAGATCTCTTTGAAACTTTCAGTATTTAAAAAAAAATCATTTTGACAGACGGCTTTGCAAAGCGTACGGATCGGATTAATGAGTAAATTTAGTCTTTGGAAAGTGGTGGCACCGAAGTACCCCACGTCATATGGATACGATAGTAAAACATGACGTACGGATAGGGTTAAGAGGTTCATCTGTCTAAGACAATCACTATTTACTCAACAACGAGTGGTCATCTTGCACAATTTCGACTGTATGCAAAGAAAAAAAAGAAAGAAAGAAAGAAAGAGAGCCGTTGTGAAAAATGGTGAAATGGTGTGAGTTTAAAGCCTCTATGAACACTGTTAGATTATTTAAGAGGCAAGACCTCCGAGTTAAACGTCCATCTCCGAAAGGACCGAGCCAAGTGGGAAATTGGTGTAAATTCCTTTCCCAAGGAAACCTTGTCGGACCAAGCTGGCACTCGAACCCCCGAACCCGCAATCTCATATGCGAGGCCCACTACGGCTGGATCGGGCCGATCGCCCGACTCGGTCGCGTGAAACTGATAACAAAAAGGGGTGCCCACTATGGATGAGATCCGCCGATCAAGTCGGGTGATCGGCCTGATCGAGCCGTAGCGGGTAGTTTTTGCGACGACCGAGTCGGGCGATATCATCCTTAATGGGCACCCCGTATCACGATTACAGAGCCCGAGAGGCGTCGTGACTGACAACACAACTACTCACCTATGCCCAAGACAAAGAGCAGTACCGCTGTGATGAAGGTGGCGACTTTTCTCCATCTCAGTGCCGAGCTGAACGCCATTCGTTTCTTGTTGTTCTTCGATAAGTCAGACGCTCTTCTATAGTGGATGATGGGAAGCTGAGACTGAGAGCAAGATATTCGTCTCGTGTTGTCGTGGCTGGCCTTTTGCGACGTCTATTTGACAGAGCTTGAGTTGTTTCGGAAGAGAGTGTTTGCAACGCTTCTTCTTCTTCGTTTCGTCCGGGTTTCCGATGTTCGTCTAAGGAGGAGATCTGTCGCTGGTTAGTTCTTCAGAAGTCTGGAATACACAGGTGAGAAAAGGATGCAACTTTAAGGTATGTAAGTATGATGCTAAATGATGATGTATGTATGGGGGAGGAGGATAATGAAGATGATAATGATGCTGCTGCTGTTGCTACTGCTGCTGCTGCTTCTGCTGATGAACATGAGGATGAGGAGGAGTAAGAAGAAGAAGAGGCGGAGGAGACTTTAATCACAATATAGACTTCAAAAGTCAGTCCCTCGCCAACACACTTTTCAAACTCCCAAGTCTCGACCCACGATAAAGTAACACCTGACATTAAGAACTTCAACTGCCGTGGATATTTCTATTTCCTCGACTCTCAATTCGCACCTCGAGCCGAAACCTCCCCGGTTCCTGAACCACTACCAGATGAATTTGTTTGTGTCACACAAACAGCAATTGAACAAACACTTCTCTTTTCTCCTCTAAGGCTTCAATGTTCACCTCTGGGACCTGAAATGTCTTACCCAAATGGAAGATCCCCCC